GGAAGTAAGAATTTGCACTTAATTCATTTTTACTAAATATTTTAAAATTAGGTATATTAAAGATATTTTTTCTATTTATTTTTAAATATTATATATTTTATATTTAAATATTAAATTATTTTCGTATATACGTTTCCCATTTAAAATTAATACAATTCTGTATGAATAAAGGACCATTTTTTTTAGTTAAACTAACCATAAAATATTGAACTTACAATATTCTAATAGTTCAATAATAACACAAAATTGGTAACATGGTATAAATTTTCTTCCTCCATCGGCAAGAATTTTCAGTTTTAATTTTGAAAGTTACTTTTACAAATCTTCTACCCCCTAATTTATATATTAAACTATTATACAAAATTATATATAAAAAATAATAAATATTAGATTAAGTAATAGTTATATTCAGCAATATGGTCGACTTATATTTATAATTATGCAGGGGGTCATAAACGATTGTTCATAAGTTATAAGATTTTTAGGGATGAAAATAAGTCAATTTGGCCTGACTTACCTACCTATATGCAAAAGTGCAGAAAAAATTCCGAAGTGTTTAAGTTATAAAATAAAACAAAATTTTTCATATTCCTCCAAAGCGATTTAAAACTTTTTTTGAAAATTTACAATATACAGTGTTGTTCATTAAGAATTGTCCAAATAGTAGCTGGAAAAACCTTAGCACAAAATACAAAGATTTAACCTAAAACACTATAATAAAATAGTCCCCCTTATCGAGATACAGACTGTTTTGTTACAAATATTCTAAAATGATTTTAGCCCATTGTTTTATCATCTTCCAATATTTTTTGTTCAAACTTGACAAAAAGTTTAGACATGTTAGGATACTTTAAATAGTGTTAAAATATAGTTTTCCGCTGTTACCAGAGGCATGCTGTAGAGATAGATACATTCTTTTCCCACTTACAATCTAAGTCACTGTCGCAATAATAATTTTAGCATGCTTTTTTATTCTTCGTTTTTATTCTTTTGTCTCAATCCGATGAAGTAAGTAGTTTTCAAGTTATTTGCGTTTAAAGGTAATGTTTAAAACACATAATTTTACCTTTTTAACTTATTTCACATGAGTGTCTTTACTAATTTAACCAAGTTGCTGATATTTACAACCGTTTAGAGAAAACTAGTCAATTCCATCCAAAGCGAGATCTAGGACGTCAAAAAATAATTGCAGTGAATCAGGATGATGCGTTAGTAAGAATTGCTAATGAACCTCAATTAAATACCAGACGTCTATCAGCAATAACTGGAATAAGTCATGCTCCACTTTTCAAAATATGAAAAAAAGAAGACTTAAGACCATACCATTTTATACCAGTGCGGATCTTGCTACCCACAGACCTTCCTTGACGAATGGGATTTGCACAATATCTTATCGATAGGAAAAATGCAAATATCAATTTCGTTAGCAATATTCTTTCTTCTGATGAAGCCACTTTCACACGTAGAGGAGTTTATAACTGGAGAAATTGCCACATTTGAGATAACGAAAATCCACATGCCGTCAGAGAAGCAAACTTTCAACATGAACTGAGAATAAATGTTTGGTGTGGAATTTTTAGAGATAATTTAATAAGTTCCTTTGAATTGCCTGCAAACTTCAAGGGCGATTCGTATTTGGAATTTGTCAAAATACCCTCTTTGATGAACTGCAAGAGTTACCATAGATTAATAGGGCGATTAATTTTACCATAAAAGTCCTGATTTTAATCGCTTAGATTTTTATTTGTGTTGACATATGAAGACACTTGTGTATGGTCAAGAAATTAATACCCGACAAGAATTATGGCAATAATAGAGTATGCCGCAAATTTTATTAGAAATCAACCGAACATGTTCCTGAAGGTTAGGAGAAATTTTCTGATAGAATTCAAAAATTAACCATCATTTTATTAACAAGCTCCATCCTAAAACTTAACAAGAAAAAATGTTAGTATCATAAAAATCATAGTTCTGATTTCTTATCAACATTAATATGAAAAAATCATTTGAAATGTAATTTACTGAATCTACTAAATTGTATAACTTTATTAGTGACATAGTTATGACTAGTGTGAAATAAATGGTAGCAATAAAATAAGATTATGCATTTTAAACATTATCTTTAAACCCAAGTACTCTATAGCATTTAGACAAAAGGATGGTATTTATGTAAAAAGTAACAAAGAAAACATGCTGAAATGATTATTACAACAGTGGCGTAGATTGTGAGGGAAAAAAAGGAAATATCTATCCCTATAGCACGCCTCTGGTAACAGCGTAAAACTATATTTTAACACTATTGAAAGTATATTAACATACCTATATTGTTTGTCAAGTTTGAACAAAAATATTTGAAGGTGTTAAAACAATAGGCTAAAATCATTTTAAAATATCTGTAATAAAACACTCTGTATCTCGGTAAGGAGGAATATTTAATTAAAGTGTTTTAGGTCAAATCTTCGTATTTTGTGCTAAAGTTCCTCCCGTTCTTGTATGGACAATTCTTAATAAAACACCCTGTATTTAAACATGACATAGCAAATAAAATCAAAGCAGCGAAAATATTTTATTTTCTCGATGTTTCTAGATATTTAGAGGAGGTCTCCAAATCTTCCGTCCTTAACATCTTTCAAATATAATATTGGATTAAAAACGGGACGTCAACGGAATAAAATACCTATTTTACAGCTTTTTTGTCTTTTAATATTTGTTTGCAAAATCATTAATTTAGAAGATTAGATACTTTTTAAAATATCAATCTAAAATAATACAATATTACAAAGTAAAAAGGGAAAATACCCGTGGTTGGATGTATACCACAGTTTAAAAAAAAACTTAACTTAGAAGTAAAGACTTCTGGTGTAATGGTAAATTTTATTAAAAATATTTAAAGGTTTACAAATCTTCGGTCAACGTTTTCGGTCCAGTCAGACCATCATCAGTGAAAAACATTTAAACTAACTGAAACCAGCAACGTAATTAGATGTAGAAACCTTTGTATTGCATGACAATAATCTTCTTCTACGTGTTCCTCATCCTTTAAGGATATTAGCGATCATCACGGCCCATTTCACTCTGGCTGCTACAGTTTTGAAGAGTTCTATTGTTGTTTTTCCACTCTAATACTTTATATTTTTCAACCAGGACGTACGTCGTCTCCCCGGTCCTTTTCCTTCCACTTTCTCTTGTATAACTAGTCGCATCAACTCATATTTTTCATTTCTTAGTATGTGACCATAGTAGGTCATTTATCTCTCTTTTATAGTGTGTTTCCTTTTCTTTTTCATCTTTCTTAATGTTTCCTTATTTATTACGTGTTTGTCCATGATATTTTTCACATTCTTCGATAAGACCACATCTCAAAGTTAGTAAGTCTTCCTTCAGTTGCGTCCGTAACTGTCCAGGCTTCAAGTCCATATAAAAGGTTAGAGAACACGTAGCATCTCAAGACTAGTTCGAATTTATATTCCCAATTTTCGCTTGCATAATACTGTTTTCATCTTATTGAAAGCGCTTCTGGCTATCTCAATGCGTCGTTTTATTTCAAGGCTGTTCTAATTGTATCTGAGTACTTTCTCTTTCACTATGACAATCATAGTTAATTTTAATATTATAATGACACTAGGTCCATGTTATATGATTTCACATGAAGGGAACATCAATCTTCCCTACTAAAAAGGAGGACGACTTTGTCCAACTATTAGAACCAGCCAACTGATTCTAACCAACTCCGAAGTTGCGGTAACTTATTTGAAAAAACACATAAAAGACACAATATTGAACTCCAAAAAAAAAAAACAGAAAAAAATTTGTTTATGGTACAGGTGGAAGAACCCGACCGAATCTGACATCAGATTCGATTTTCCACCTCAACTTCAACCAAATGGTCGGGTTCTAACACTCGTACCATAAATATTTTTTAGTGTGTCTTTTGTGGAGTCCAATGTTCGGTCATTTATGTGTTTTTTCAAAAAAGTAACTTAACCTTGTGGATTTTTCCACCAAAATAGAATCTCTCTAAAGTAGTGGTACTTTTTAAAACTTGGCCATTGCTCTGAGAACGGCATTGTAAGGCGAAAGCGCTCAGCTAGGAAATACATTTTACACACTTCAAAATAAACTTCTGTTTTCCATTCTTTAAAATATTTTTGGTTTTTGCATGAAAGTAGAAAAAATATTCTATGACACTCTACGCAACGTGTTTATGCACTCAACACGTTGTTGAAAGTGGACCTAACAGATACCTTGAGCAATGTCACGACTTGTGCAGTTAACACTTATTTTTTGCACTTGTTGCATAAACAATATTATTAAGAGGTAAATGTTATCTGTTATTAAAAAAAATTGTAGGCATTTTATACACCATTAGTTATGTACAAAAGAGCAAAACTTTATTTTGTATTTTAAAGAAAGGGTTATAGACAGAACATAAAAAAATATAAGAGAGAGATACGCAGCAATATTACACATATAGAAGTCACTGATGAATGTCAATGGACCGACATCGAAAATTTTTATGAACGTTATAATATCTAAATGTAATTTATAAGATTGAAAGTTAATAAAATAAAAAAAAAAAACAAAATATTGGATCATTGTCACATGTCTTCTATTAAAAAAAAATATCGTCTTGATGTATATTACGTTTAATTTACATAGCAATTATTACCTTTCATGTATACTTCATTAATAAAATGTATCTTATGCAGTTTTGTTTTCAAAATGGTACTGAAGAGGTCATAGTACCCTGCTCGCATAAATATAAATACTACACTTTGGTCATTTAAGAGATTTCTTTAACGCTAGTATAATAAAATACTATTACAACATTATTTAATACTGTTTTCTTAGTGTCAAATTAAAACTATTACTATTTATTCTTCGGTATCTACTAGGACAACGACATCAAAAGCATCATGCAACAACTATTCTGTTTCATTCATTAAGGTATACACTGAGCGGGAATCCAAATAATGAGACTCTCTCATATCACGACATACCTTGTTGAGGGCTTCCAATACTTTGTCGGGCATGTGGTCCTGTATCATTACAGGTGAGATGAGAACTTCGTCGAAGTCGGTGTTTCGGGCCCAAAGAGCCTGATAAACTGGATCCTTTTTGTTTAACGTTTGTCTAAAATCACATATAATTAAGTTAGTTAAAGCTTCAATTTGTTTAATACTAAGTTATTAGAGATACCCATAGAGTATACTTAACATCACTATGTTGTAGGATTTTGAATGTTAAATTTTTAAAATTTGCTGGTGAAAAATACCAGAAATAATCCACAAACTATAACGAAATCTGGAAATATATCTTACAAAGATCAAAAAGAACGTTGAACGATTAAAAATAATGTCTAGTATTCCAAAATAGTTTCCTAGTATCTAAAACTAGTATAGTTCGTATTTGAATTCCGAGCAGTAAACACGTACTCATATCGCTCTCGAGATTCAAGTTTCAAGTTTTTCTGCCGGCCTCGGCTATCGGCCGGGACTAGTTTATTGCTGATAATTAGTGAAATAAAAATAAAAGTAAATAACTATTCTTAAGTGATTAATTTTAAATAACTATTTATGTGATTAATTTTTAACCAGTGGCGCACTATACTAAGGAAATGTACCACCAAAATTTACAAAATCAAGTGCCAAATGGGGAGTTGTATAATGTGCCCCAAATATATACCCAGCCTCAACAACCTCCAATAATATCGCCCCCATTCTATGGGTTCCCGAGCAATGTCCAACAGGTAACAAACCAATATATACCGGCTACTCCATTCCTAAACAATAATCACCAATATAACCTAAACCCTCCTGCACCTCCAATGGATCAACCAAATACATCAAATGCCACCCAATACACCCTCAGCGAAGAGGAAACTGTCATGGAAAACTCGAGCGACCAAGACGACGAAACCATAGAAAACGTTCACGATTGGCAAACAGTCAAAAAAATTACAAAAAAAAGGAAGGCAAACCCCAAAGATGACAACACAACAACGCAAGTGAGTACAAACAACAGATTTGAACCATTAGAAAACTTAAACGATAGTAATAACACACCAGTAACACCTAAACCTCCACCTATATTTATCTATGGGGTAAATGATATTAAAAAAATGACTGAAAACCTATCAACAGTCATTAAAGCTGAAGACTACCAGTTGAAAGCTCTTCCAAATGATACAATAAAAATAAACCCCAAAACTATAGAATCATACAGAAAACTTATACAGCATTTAAATAGCAACAAAATAGTTCACCACACATACCAAGCAAAACAAGATAGAGCTTATAGGGTAGTTATAAGGAATTTACACCACTCGATGCCGGTTGAAGAAATAAAAAGTGAACTAGGTAAATCGGGACATACTGTCCGTAATATCATTAACGTTTTGCACAGAGTCAATAAAACACCTTTGTCAATGTTCTATGTGGACCTAGAACCCAAAGAAAACAACAAACACATTTATACACTGGATCATATCGGCAATATGAAAGTCAGCTTTGAACCCCCTCACAAAAAGAACAATATAACACAGTGTCAGCGCTGTCAACGTTATGGACACACAAAAGCGTACTGTACAAGACCATACGCATGCGTGAAATGCGGAGGAAGTCACCCATCACCAAAATGTACAAAACCCAGAAATACACCAGCAAAATGTGCCCTGTGTACAGGAGAACACACTGCAAACTATAAAGGCTGTGTAATTTACAAGGACTTACAAAATGCAAGAAATAATCGCCAAAGCGGAAATCAGTCGACCCATAATAATCCGAACCCACATCAAAATGTTAACCCAGCACCAACTTCACAGTACCAGAGTCAACAATCACAGTACCAACAACAGAATGGAACCCAATCCTATGCCCAAGCAGTAAGAGCAGGAAATCAAGTAGCTGACATAGGGTCTCAAATGAACTTATTCTTAAACGAATTTAAAGCAATGTTCACCCAACTAATGAATCAAAACAGCATGATCCTTACCATGCTAACAACATTAATTAACAAAATTCGTTAGATCTGTTCGAATCGCCGAGTGGAACGCAAATGGTTTAGCAAACCATAAAGCAGAAGTAATCCAATTCCTAAAGGACAACAAAATAGACATCCTTCTTGTATCTGAAACGCATTTCACAGAAAGAAGCGTCATTAAAATACCTCAATACTCAGTCTACCACACTAGTCACCCAGATGGAACAGCCCATGGAGGATCCGCAATAATTATAAGGAACAATATACAACACCATCAAATGCCGGAACATAAAACAAATGAGATTCAAGCAACAATACTTAATATAAATGCCAGGCCTTGGGACTTCGAAATTGCTGCAATATATAGTCCTCCTAGATATAGAATCACAACTGAAGAATACGAAGAACTATTCAATAAGCTAGGTAACAAATTTATTGTTGGAGGTGATTGGAATGCTAAGCATACGAATTGGGGCTCACGACTCATTACACCAAAAGGCAGAAGCCTATTAGATGCCATCAACAACACAAACTGCACCTACTTATCGACGGGACAACCAACATACTGGCCATCCGACATAAATAGACTACCAGATCTACTAGACTTCTTCATCCTAAAAGGAATTGCAGCAAACTACACAGACATAGAAGCAAATTGGGATCTCTCGTCTGACCATACACCAATCATAGCAACACTCAGCACCCACATAATGAAACGACCTGAAATACCCAAGTTAACGTCCCCTAAAACTAACTGGTGTGAATTCAAGTACCAGCTTGACATGAATCTAAGTCTTGGAATCAGACTAAAAGAAAAAGATGACATAGATAAAGCTATAAACTATCTCACCTGTCAAATTCAACAAGCTGCATATCGAGCTACACCATCAACTCCAAAGCAAGAAAACACAAATACCACTCCGAATTATATCAGACAACTAATAGTCGAAAAACGAAGAGCAAGAGGTAGATGGCAAAGAAGCCGCAATATTAATGACAAACACGAATATAATCGACTAACCAGACAATTAAGAACAGCGCTAAATGATGCACGCAATGCCACATTTGAGCACTACATTAGTACCTTGTCTAAAGAAGATCACTCAATATGGAAGGCAACAAAACACTTAAAGAGACCTACAGAACAAAACCCACCAATTAAGAAAGATGACGGTACTTGGGGAAGATCAGACCAGGAAAAAGCGTTAACATTTGCAGAATACTTAGCTGGTATTTTTAAAGAACACCAAGCAGATAATGATAACGATGGAAACTTAATAAGAGAATTCCTGGATAGTGCTTGCCCTATGACGCCCCCAATAACACCATTCAGTCCATCAGAAGTGAAACTAGAAATAGAAAAATGCAATAACCACAAAGCACCTGGATTTGACCTAATAACAGGATTAATACTGAAAAATCTTCCGAGAAGAGCATTGGTCATGTTAACTACAATATACAATAGTGCACTCAGACTGACATATTTCCCAATCACATGGAAATTTGCGCAAATAATAATGATTCACAAACCAGGCAAACCTCCAAATAAAACATCATCCTATCGACCAATCAGCCTGTTGCCGACAATGTCTAAAATCTTCGAAAGACTACTACTTGATAGACTGAAGAAGGACATTAACCTAGACGCAGAAATACCCACACACCAGTTTGGTTTTAGAGAGAGACATTCCACAACACAACAGACTCATAGAATTATAACAAAAATCCTTACTGCTATTGAGGAAAAAAAATATTGTACAGCGGCATTCTTAGATGTAGAAAAGGCGTTTGATAGAGTATGGCACACTGGACTCTTATACAAACGCAAAAGCATTCTTCCAACTCCCTACTACCTAATTATGAAATCCTACATTGAAGATCGTTACTTCCAAGTAAAATATAACACAGCAACTTCCACATATTTTCCCATTAAATCAGGCGTACCACAGGGTAGCGTCCTGGGTCCTCTCCTTTACCTATTATTTACCGCAGATATCCCAACCACTGAAACAACCCAAATTTCAACGTTCGCTGATGACACCACCATAATCGCTGTCAACGAGGACCCCATTATCGCGACTGCACAACTGCAAAACCACCTTAACCAATTGGGAACATGGCTCAACAAATGGAAGGTGAAAGTAAATGAAACGAAGTCATCCCAAGTTACATTTACAAACCGAAGGGATGTATGTCCAACAATCACATTAAACGACACACAATTACCAGTCAGCACACAAGTTAAATATTTGGGACTAACCCTTGACAAAAGATTAACATGGAAGCCACACATTCAAGCCAAGAAAACCCAGATCAACATCAAAATACGACAAATGAGCTGGCTTATGGGTCGAAAATCAAAACTCAATACTGAAAATAAACTGCTCCTGTATAAATCTATGATAAAACCAATTTGGACCTATGGCGTTCAACTCTGGGGTTGCTCAAAGCCATCAAATATCAAGATAATACAAAGAGTCCAATCAAAAATATTGAGAATAATATTCAACGCGCCCTGGTATGTAAGCAATAAAACCCTACACGAGGACTCAGCTACACCTTTGGTAGAGGAAGAAATTCAAAGGATCACAAAGAGCTACCTTGATGGTCTGAGAAGTCATCCAAATGATGAAGCAAGACTGCTAAACGCTCCTCCCGAATTCGCAAGACGACTGAAGAAACAATGGCCAACAGATTTAATAAATTAAATATATTATGATCTAATGTAAAAAATATAATAGGAGAGTTGCCACAGGGCAGCTTCTCCCTCATGTATTTAACATTCAAACTATTTACTTATAGCTTCGATGAAGCAGATTGTAAATTAAATTATGCTATAAAAAAAAATCTAAAACTAGTATAGTAAAAAAAGTATCCTAGCTTGTACAGGAAAATATATGAGCGGAATAATTCTGCACTTTGCCTTTGGTTGCATTGCTAGTGTGTTGGTATGGTCGACATGATGCTAATTAAAAAGACACTGAGGCATCCAACGGCTTTGGCACAAAATACTAAAGATTTAGTTTTGGAAACGTTTAGATGTAAACCAAACATTTCGCTGTGGTGAACTACTTCATTTATTATATTTTGTAGTTCTTGTGCGTTGCTTGCTATTAAGACGGTATCATAAGCATTTCTGATGTTGTCTATGC